ACTGGGCAGGGGAAGACACTTGACGCCATAGTGAGTCTGGGAGAGGTAACTCGCGGCTGGGAGTGGAGACCCAGGTGGGCTGGCGCGGTGAGAGGAGGTGTGAGAAGTGGGCTTGCACTCGGCCTTGGATGACGGGTAGGACTTGAACAGGAGGTGGGGAGGCAGAGTGAGGAGGAGATGTGGTTAAGCAGCTGGGGTGAGGTCGGGGTGCGGAGGCTGCCTGAAACCAGATCCCCAGAGGCTGGGGAACTTCCTAGGGCCTTGAGGCCCGCGGCCCCTCTGACCACCTCATGTGCCTCATGACCAAATCAGCAGTCTTGCTGAGCCTTGCGGCCCCTCCGTCCCTTCTTTTTTTTTCAAAATCTCACCAAAACCCCAGGGAGCAAAGTGTCAACCACCCTCTCCGATACCCTGACTTTTGGTTTCTGATCCTCCTCCGTGCACAGGCTGAAAACCTCCCACCTTCAGTGGGTCAGTCAGGCTGCCGGGCACAGCCCCACGGCCCCTCGGTGCATAGTAGGGACCCTGCAGAATGATTGCCCTTGACCGTGGCACTGCCCTCTCTGCCCCCACGCAGCCTGTCCAGACCCCTGCCCGCCGCTCCTCACACTGTGTGCCCTGGTGGGGTCCTGGGAGTTCCCAGGACCCTCCTACCTAGCACCGATCCCCACTGCCTGCAGGGCACTTGGCTCAGCCGAGGTTTCAGTAAACGCTTTTGATGCAAACACATACATGATTCAAGGGTCCGTGGGTTTCCTGATCTGAGAAACAACAATTTAAACGTGCACTGATAGGGTGTTGGGACAAGTCGGATGCAGGGAGGGGCCCCAGAGGACAGAGCCGGTAAAACCCAGAGGTGCAGTGCCCCACGAGGAGAGGGCACAGACTTCCTGCTGTTTCATGACCTTTGTGCCTCCCCTCCGCCTTTTGCCCTTTCCTGACTGTTAGTTCATTTCCTCCTGCCCACGCATTCTCCTTCCTTGCCAGTCCTGTGAGGACTGGGAGTCAACGCTGGGAAGGGACTTGAGCTCATAAGGAGAGAGATTTTTACCTCCAGCACCACCACCGCCACCACCATCGTCGTCATTGTCTCCGGTGGCAGTGGTCTTAGTAAACCCCCAGGAACATGAAAACAAAGACCATATCCGATTGATACTGTTTCCTTTACCGGTGAATTCCCATTGTTGGAAATGTGGCCATCTTGGACTAACAACCGTCCATCTGTCAGCTAATGAGATGAGGCTACAAGCCAGAACGTCTCAAACCCAGCAGAGACCGGGCATCATCACCATGGTGTTAGCGCATCCCCAGTGTGTGTGCACAAAAGAGCCGCTGGGAGGTGGCGGCCCCCTGCGGAGGAGGGTGGGCTGCGCAGGAAGAGGTTGAATAAATGGCACCCCCCCCGCCTCAAAACGAGTTCCTCCACCCCACTCTGTCTGTCAGAGGCTACAACAGTTATTTATCTGAATTTGCACCTAGAAAGAAGTTTAATCAGGCACAGGAGTGGAATGCAAATCAAGAGATTTCTTCTCCCTCTATTTCATTTTCCTCTCATTCTCTTTGTCCCCAACTTGCGAATAGTCACCCCAGGCTCCCTGCTATCCCCCGGATAAGTGTCAGGCCTCAAATGCTTCTTTCCCCGAGCACATCAGACTAGATGAGTGAAGAGACTCATCTGGAGACTAGCTGGCCTCAGGTGTCATCTCACCACCAGAAACAAGGCTGGGACATGAGTCTTTATTACCCCATCCCCACCGCACCCACAGTGGAACACTCCCCGCGCGGCCTGGGCCCCGGCAGGCGGCGCCGTGGTGGGCAGGTGGCTCTCGCTGCCTGCAGGCCAGGCTGGAAAACCATCCCAGGAAACCCGTGAAATCACAGCTTTCCATAAACATGCATGGAATCCTGTTTCCTAAGTCACAATTACGGTTTCGCCCACTTTAGTTAAGTTCAACATACAGCACTTTAAAGTTCCACTGTAAATTCTAGATCACTGGAGATTTGTACATCAGCCAACACAAAACTCGGTCAGCCACCTAGCGGGGAGCCACCCCCACTCCCTTAAAAGTTTGTTTTGGATGACAGTACCCAGAACACCAGGCCTGTTTCCCAGCTGGAAAGGCAGCACTGTGTACAGACGCTGATGGAAGGAGAATGAGTCTGCGGGCCTCTGTTAAGTTCGGTGAGTGTGTGAACGTGTGTGTGTGTGTGTTACTGTTGACATACGTGTTCAGTGCCCAGGGGCCACCCTGGGCACTGCACACGTGGGTGCAGAGTGTGGGGGGCTGAACTCCGAGTCCAGAGGACCCAGGTTCTAGCTTGAGTGGAGCCACCTCCTGCTGCTGTGGCCTGGGGGAGCCCCTTGCCAATCTGAGCTTCCGTTCTCTCATTTGATGCAAAAACCATACGCCTGTCGCATAGGATTGCAGTGAGAATTTGTGCATCGTGTGTGAGTGGAGACGGCTTACGTGGAAACTCCACAACTGTCAAACATAAGGTCCTGAAGAAGTAAACAAGTCCTGCATCCAAGACTGAACAAAATCAACATTTTTATTCTCAGCCAGGTGGCTCATTTGTATCTTTGTTTCACTCTTCCTACATCAGATCTGTTTTTTGTTTCTTTGGTTGGTTGGTTGTTTTGTATCAGCCTCTGGGATCAAAGAGAAAGCTTACCCAGTTTCCCCTGCCAGGTTCAACAAACATTTTCTCTGGCGCGCTCACTGCTTCCGATTGCGGGGGCAGCCACGTCCAGCAGGCTGACGGAGACCTGGCAGCCCAGACGAAGGCACTTTAAACGTTCATTGGCAGGACATGCCGTGAATGTCACTGTGAAGGCCGTATGTGGGTCCGGTCACAGATGGATGCTGGAGCACGGGGCTTAAAGTTCCAGCTGTGCACATGGTCTCATCACGTCCCACTCACTCCTCAAAATAATACCGTGGGATTAGTTACTGCCACCATCGCTGGTGTACAGCTGACGGGGGTCCAGCTCACCCAGCATTGTTGGCGTGCCCAGAATAAGACCAGAAGTGCTGGAACAGAGGGTCAAAACCATTTTTCAGACACAAAAATTCTGTGACATGTCATATGTTATTATATATTCTATTATCACAATGTCTATATTACTAACGAAGGAATCTATTAATACATATTAATAGATTAATTAGAATATTTATACAAAAATTTCCCCCCAACGAATCTAGCAATGTCCAAGGCAGCTAGAGACCCCACAAGCCAAATCTGGCCCACTGTTTGTTTTTATAAATAAAGTTTTATTGGAACACTCATTCCTGCATGTATCAACCACGGAGTTGAGGACTTGTGACAGAGATCATATGGCCCGCAAAGCCGAAAAGAGCTACCCTCTGCTCTAGATTATATAACCTGCCTGGATGATACATCCCTGCCCCAGATTCTATAACCACAGTCTTCCAGGGAAGATCAATAAAAGCACTCAAGCACCCCTTGGCTCGTGAGCCCTTGCTGTAGCTACAGCGAGCACCTCTGCTGTGTGTCTGTCATGTCCTGGGCTCCTCTGTCAAGACACTGCTCGCTGGATTGTTACTGTGTGTCTGTGTGTTCCCTTCCCTCCAGGCTGTGAGCTCTTGGGGCGCAGGCCCTGGGGGTTATTCCATGTGTGTCCCCACTCAGGCTTCCTGGGTCAGGTTGAAGGAGACCATGGCCCCTACCCTCTCAGAGCCTAGACTCTGCTCAGGAAGGCAGATGAGGAACAGACCCTCGGAGTCTCAGCGTCAGTGGGACAACAGCCACGGTGCAGAAAAGCCCAGAGCCCTGCCAGCTCACGGAGGCGCCGGGCCCAGCCTTGGAGGGCCGGAGACGCCTTCCTGAAGGGAGGACCTGCCTGAGCTGATTCTCGCAGGAGTACCCAAGGAGGATGGGGAAGTCGCAGTGAACTGCACATGGAAAGGCCTGCAGTAGAGGGGCAGCAGACGTGGTTCATTTTGGCTGAAGTGTGGCCCTCGGCAGTGTGTAGGCATCGCTTTGTGTGGTCGATGCTGCGGAGTGGATGGCGACATTGGCCTGGCTGGACGTGGTGGCAACTGGACTCTAGCTAGTGTGGAATGCGCTGCAACTCTGCATATTTGGGAGTTGGTTATCCCAGGCCTTAACTTGTCATCAACATTTCCGTAGATAGAGCAGTACTTCCCTGCTCTGGGAGCCGAATTGCACAGTCAGGAAGCCATGTTTCATTCCAAACACTAGCATGTAATTAAAAGGAAACACCAATGTTGCCCCTTGTACCTTGTGGCCTTCAGTGCCCCAAATCTTTGACCTGGACTCAGTGTGGGTGATCAAGAAGCTGGTAATGATAAAAAGGATACGTTTAAGAAGAATTTAAAATTTCTTAAAACAGATTTCAGTGCTGTCCATCAACGGATAAACAGAACATGATGTAGCCATGCAATGGGATATTACTCAGCCATGAAAGGGCATGATGCACTGTTTCGTGGCTACAACATGGGTGAACCTGGAAAACGTTCTGCTGAGTGAAAACAGACACAAGGTCGCAGATTGTGTGGTTACAGTTCTGTGAAATAACCAGAATAGAACAGTCCTTAGGGACATTTGCAGACTGGTGGTACCAGGGGCTGGGAGGAAGGAGGAAGGGCAGACGACCGCTTAAAATAGGTCTGGGGTTTCCTTCTGAGGTGAGGAGAATGCACCGGCGCTACACAGAGGTGCCGATCGTGACTGTGATGGATGCCCCCGATTTGTCCACTTTCAAATGTTGATTTTAGGTCAGCTTTGCCTCAGATTAAAAAAAAAAAAGCCTAGGAAAGATAAGAAATGGAGATACAATCTTGACCACTCAATTCATTACATGATGGTTACATTTTAGAGAAAAAATTAAAACAGAACCAGCTGATGAACCGACAGCGCTCGCGGTTCTGAGTCGGGTGTGGGGACATCCGTAGCCGGGCAGGTGAACCCCGCCGGTGACACCGCTGACGCCTGTCCCTTTGCTGTCCCTCTGACAGAAGCGGAGAAAACCCGATGCCAGCTTGAGCGAGAACACATCCTCGGGGCGGCGGGGGCGGCGGACCCCCAGAGGCCCCGGCCGCCGGGGCTGTTCGTGC